TAATAATAATAATAATAATAATAATAATAATAATAATAATAATAATAATGATATTAATCATTCAACTACACCATCGATTAAAAATGGTAACAATACAACGACAACAACAACAACAACAACAACAACAACTGAAAATAAACCAACACAATGGCAAGATGATGAAAAAGCAGTACGTGCTGGTACTTGTAGTTTTAATGTTAAGGTAAAATCTATTTTATATGAATAATTAATAAAAAAAAACCGAACAATTCTCTATAGTATCTTGGAAGTGTTGAAGTTCAAGAATCACGAGGAATGCATGTTTGTGAACAAGCTATACAAGCTTTATTAAATGTAATTTTTAAAATTATAAAAATTTAAATGTATTACTTTTTTTTTGTATTAATATTTTAGCAAAAATTAAAACATATTAAAGCTGTTTTACATATATCTGGTGATGCTCTTCGAGTTGTTGATGAAACAAATAAGGTTTGTTTTGTTACTTAAATTAGAAATAATAAAAATATCATTTTGCATATTCAAGAAGATAAGAAAAGGTCGAATAATTTTGTTATTATTTTTCTTTATTTCTATATAGGGTCTTATTGTTGATCAAACAATTGAAAAAGTTTCATTTTGTGCACCCGATCGTCATCATGATAAAGGTTTTGCATATATATGTCGTGATGGTACAACACGTCGATGGCTTTGTCATGGTTTTCTTGCTATTAAAGATTCGGTATAATAAGATTTTTGTTTTTTTTTTCTTAATTAAAACAAAAATTCAACATATTATTATCTAATAATAGGGTGAACGTTTAAGTCATGCTGTTGGTTGTGCATTTCAAATTTGTCTAGAACGTAAACAAAAACGTGATCGTGAATGTAATGTTACTGTTGAATATTCTCAAAATGGTACATCTTTTACACGTTTTGGTTCATTTCGTACAACATCAATTACGGAACGTATTATTGATCCACAAAGTGCTATTATTGCTGGTTAGTTTTTTTTTTTTGTATTAAATAAATATAGAAATCGAATACAATCTGAAATTCATGTTAATACTCTATCGTACTATTTTATCTATGGATAGTAATATTTAATATAGACAATTTTCATTACATATATTCTCTATATGAGATAGTAAGAGTAAAAGAATTAATAAGATAACATCAATACTGAGATTTGATCTTTGGAATAGATTATTTTGTTATTGAATATTATGTTTTCATTTTGTTTAAAAATAGAACCAATTCCGTATAATTCAATGACAATATCAAATTTAACAAATTCATCTAATCAAAAAAATGGTGCCATTGAAAGACCAAGACCAAAAGGAAATGAATCTGATACATTTATACGTAGTGCATCACTTCGTTTAGGTGATCTTAATCAAACATCATTAGGTAGTTTTAAACGACAAAGTTCATTAAGACCTAGTGATTTACCATCAATACAAGAAGCTAAATATAAAAATTTACCCACAAATACAAGTAAATAATTTTTAATTTTAAAAATAAGAAATTTTATTTTTTTTTGTTTGTTTTAGTTATTGAAGAAGTTGAACCTGTATTAACAACGAATGATCTCAATAAATTATCATTAATTGATTCAACAAATATAAATCAAATTAATACTTCTACTCAACCTATAATAAAATCTTCATTCATTCCAACATCATCATATTCATCGATTACGAATACTAATCATAATATCTATACAAATGAAAATTTATCAACAAATGTTTGGTTAACAAATCAAATTCCAATTGCTAATGATCAAATACAAGAACAATATGATTTAAAATCATCATCATCATTACCACCACTATCACTACCAACAACAATAACAACAACAATTAATGATGCATTTGATTCAAATTTAAATGCTCTTGTTCAAAGTAATAATCCAACAAATCCATTTTCACCATATGGTTATTCAATGGCTGCTCAAGCTCAATCTCCAAGTATAAGTAATCGACAACCAACAATATTTACACCTAAACGCGGTACGAATCCATTTGATGATGATCTCATACGGCGATAAAACATAAAAAAAAAAACATTCTATTTTTGCTATGTCTTCTATTAGCTCATATATATTGTCTTCTGTTCTCGATTTAAAAGAGAAACACCTTTTTTTTTTTTTTTTTGGTTCTTGTCATAACAATTTTCTTTACTCGTCTTTTTTTTTTCTTGTTTATTAATCCGAAATTTTTTTTTTTTTGCATGTGTATTGGAAGAACAACAAACAACAAATCAAACTCATTTAATTGTGGCAATATACCGATTAATTTTCTTATCCAAGTTATTATTGAAAAAAAAAAACACATGAGGATCAAATACTTCTTTATTTAATATATATGTATGTTCATGATTATTGTTTTCTTTTTTTCTTGTCTCTGTCTTACGTTGAAGTTTTTTTTTTTTTTTTTTTTGTGCTGTTTTTGTCATTGACAACAGTGAATTTTTTTTTGTTAGACGAAGACGCTTGTGTATATATCAAATGTCAATACTTATTGGTCTTCAATAATTATATATTAATCTATATTCTTTTTTTTTTCTTCTTCTCATTTTTCTATGTAATAGTTGTAGAAATCAGTTATAAATGATCAGAATGTTGAATAAGATACTTTGATAGATTTCGATTGATAGATTTTTTTTTGTTTTGTTTTCTATATCAGTAAAGAGCGATATTTTCAAAATTGAAATTTTTATCATAGTATAAAAGTTATTCTTTTGAAATTCTTATGTAGAATACAATACTACTATATAGATATATTCTAAATTACTAATCATATTTTCGTAGGAATATTTCAAACTTGATTGACAAAACAGATTGCAGAACACATTTTTCTTAATAGAAAATGTTCTAGTAAAATAGATTTGAACCTCTCGTTCTGCTTGACTGACTCAATGAAGGACAAATATTATTAACCTTATTATCTTTCTATTATTTAGTGAGAAGAAAAATATATCCTATATTATATATAGATTTACTGTTCAAACAAAAAACAAAAAAAAAATATATATATTACTAGACAATGTTGCTTACATGTTAATCATATTGTTGATATGACCATACTAATGGGTGTTTAATTGCGCGAGAACTGATTATCATCATATGAAGTGTCGTTATCCACAAATAAACAAAACAGATGTAAGACTCAAGGATCAGTAAATATAAATGCCAAGGTCTTATTACAAAAAAAGAAAAACTTGAACTACTATTATATAAATCAACAAAAGCTTCTTTTTTTTTTTGTAAATAAAACTCAAATATATATATGAAATTTAATTTTTAAAATCTCCAAAAGAAAGAGTGATAATATAAATTAGCACTATTTATACATATTCAATACTATATAAAATTATAAATTTCTATTTCGAATATCTTTTTTTTTGATTATGAATTTTATAGTAAA